TATATATATATATATATTTGTATTTCATATTGTTCTTGTTTTATTAACTACTTACAGAAATGGAGGAGAAATGTTCATTTCCAAGTATGTCAGAAGAACTAACACCCAAAAATTTTTAAGTTATGTTGAAGTTGAAGTCTTTAAACCCCTTTCCTATGTTTCAAGTGGACGTGAATTAAACTCGGATCTAGGCAAGTGAACTAACCCTATTTATTAGCTGCTTGCCTTATAAATATACTTGATTCATAAATGAATAGTATTTTTGTTCGTTTCTTACAATACGGATTAAGGGTTAACTATTTTAACTCTTAGTTTTATTATTTAAACATCTTTAGTTCTACATCTTATATATCAGCTTAAGTTCCATTGATTATGCACAAAACATGTTCTTTAAATTCTTTACACAACATTTTAGCCCTCTAATATTCCTTGCAATGATAAATTACAGCATTTTTAGCTTCTTTTAAAAAAACTACACAAATGGTAAACATTTGTCTTTGTCAGCAGGGCTGGATTAAGGTTTAGTGGGGCCCTAGACTCAGGTAGTATTTGGGAATAATAATAATAACTCACTCTTGCCTCGATTTTGCTAGTTTTACGAACCATAATTTTTACCTGGCCGGGCCTAGTGGCCCATGCATTAATCTGGTACTGTTTCTCAGAACTTATTAAAGACTAGCTAAGTTTTACTTGGTCCACATATATGTGATACAAGTTCAAGATGGATCTGGATATGAATTGTTTTTGGTAAGTTTGGTGCGAGTCTAATTGTAATTTGGCAAAATGTAGTCCAAACTTGCATGTTACTTTGCATAAGCTGGTCTGTATGTATGAATGACACACATGACAAAAATCAAATCTAGATCTTGAAGTTTCCTTACAGGTGTTACGTCTCTGGTCGTTAGTTAATTTCCCATATAATTTCTTTCTGATGAAACTTTAGCGACACAAGTCCTTTCTTAAATAAAACTGGTTTATTCTTTCTGAATACAACTTTGCAATACATTTAATTTCCACAGTCACGCTATAACAAACGCTATAATTCACATCGAACGACTCACGTGCTCGACTCAGTCGTCAGTCTCTCTCTGTCTGCAGTTCAATTACATTGTTGCCGTCACTTCTTGGCAGCTTATATACAAGAATACCACATATCTAGTAAACACTTGAGACTTCAGGAAGGGACATGAATGTTCTAGAAGCGCATGACGTGTTACTAGCTTCACGTGACCTCCGCTGTCGTAACACAGCGATATGATCCACGTGTGAGAATTATCAAATGGTTGAAGCAAATCCATACCCAAGTATGTATTGGAAGAAACTGGCAAAATTTACAAATGTTATGTGTTGGAATTTAAAACATATATATGACTGTTTCTTTAATATTTTGCAGAATCTGATACAGACTGCTTGAGGGTTAATTAACATAATTTGATTCAGACTTACATGTCACTTTTTACTTATGTAACAAATTTGTTTAGACATAAGTGATAAAGGTCCAGCTTTGTGTATTAACTGTTGGAATCTGAATGAGATTTAAGTGTTAGTGTTACTTGACAGAATATTCAAAGATCTAATATGCTTATGTTGAATAATCTAGTCCAAAATGAAAAGATAGGTCCATCCCAAAGTGTTGTCACTTTAAAATTGGTTTAAATCTAAGTTTCCCATCTGAATCAAAGCAAGTTCTGAATGTTATTTGGCTGGATGATGTTTCTGAGTACTACTTGACAAAACCAATCTAAGATATAACAATGCTTGGAGATGGCTTGAATGGGTAGTGAAGAAAAATTTTAATACAAGTTTAACATAACAGCAAATGTACAATGTTTCGACAAGGTTTTGTCATCATCAGGTACATTGTCAAAATGTTGTACATTTGCTGTAATGTTAAACTTATATTAAAGTGTTTCTTCACTACCCATTCAAGCCATCTCCAAGCATTATTAGTCTCAAAGTGGGTTCCTCATCATCAAATTTCAATCTCAGGTACGAGTGTTCTTTGACAGAATCTGGCTTAAGGCTGAATATTACTCAACAGAAACTGGCTTAAGTCTGAATTACTATAAAAAAAATCTTGTATGTGAAAGAATATAGTCTTAATCAAAGTGATACCTGGTCTACATTTGGGTTTTAATCCCTATTATTTCTTGGCAGAATTTGATTCAGGCTTGTGTTTCCTAAAATTACAAACTTTAGTGATACTGAATATTTGTGATACCTGGTCTACATTTGGGTTTTAGACCTTATTATTTCTTGGCAGAATTTGATTCAGGCCTGTGTTTCCTAGAATTACAGACTTTAGTGATAATGAATATACGCTGTTAGTTTAATATTTTTATTTTATGGCTGTATAACAAAAGACTTCTTTCTCCTGTACCAGTAATCAAAAATGAAAATGGAACATACTTCTTACAACTCTCTACTGAAAGTAAAGGATGGAAAAATACATCAAAAGTTGGCATGTCTGTAGTCATACCTGGCAAACCAAGTTTCCTGCTGACTGAAATCCTCAGTAGTGTAGAAGCCATTGGAGTTCCTGTAGTGGACTTTTCTGTGGATGATCTATATGTACAGGACAATCACTGGTTTGTTTTTAATATGGGAGCATATGAAAACTATGAAAATGTTACGGTAAAGATACTAAGTTCTATAAACTACTTTGTTTGTAGCTTTTAAGAAAAATGGTATAATTTCTTTTAAAACATGCATAATTATTAAAGTAATTAGTTCGTTAACAGACGTACTTCAACCAAAAAAACTACATCCACTCCTGAACACGAATCTCTAAAATATAAAATTACAGATAAATATAAAATTTCAACTAATGTCAAAAGCAAGTAATTTCTCACTTCTATAGAATAGATAAATATGAAGAGGGAGGAGGTTGAATGATATATTTAGATTATTCAGTGGTATATGTAAACCTACAAAGGCCAGGAGGCATGAATATATTGCCCTCCATCCCCATAGTTCAACCCTACGAATGATATATTAAGTAAAATAATACACTAATAATTATAATATAGATAAAATTATTTCCAAGTCACACACTGCATACAGGTACTGTATATGATTGATATGTAAAATGAAAAACCAACTGTTGGAAATCAGTTTTTCTTATACTTATAGTTTTTATTCTATTGCCTTTCTGTTTCGTTAGGAGCAATTACCTTCCCACAACTAATTGCAGGCAAAAACAAATTTAAGAAGTGAATTACTGAGGGTTTGAGCACCCATATTTGTGATCTTTAGTTTCATTTCACATTTGAGGCTTTTAAACTACGAGATAAAACTGATGTTTGATATATACTTACCACTGTATGGATTCTTCCTCCACAGATACCTCTCCTGATAAGATATATTCCACCATCCTTACTCTGTAATTCATACCTCTACTTATATTTATATGTACTATGATGCCATATGTTTCTGGCCAAGTTGCTTATAGTAAAAAAAAAATCATTAAAGATGCTGTTGTGTTTTTCCTTTATTTTTCATGAAATGTTAAACTAATATAACTGTAATGTTTTCTTTACAAATGTATGTATAAATAAAACATATATATTAAATACATATTTGTATTCAAACTTTGGTATAACAAAATCAAAAGAAGGTACAAGGTTCAATGAGGAACTATCATTAATATTTGTATCGTGGTTTGATTGTTAATTGGAGTCAACCATGTTCTCACTATTGATAAAAGCCAATAAGAAGTTTTTATTTGGGATATATATAGATGGCTAACCATGTATTCATTGAAGAAAGGTAGGAATGGTTTCATTTTGAAAATGTCAACATGAGAAAGCTATTAAATTTTCTTTTTACTTCAGATTGTTAACGAAAGAAAACCAGTAATTTGTATTTGTGTATTGTTATATTGGTTTATGGAGTAATAATTGTTGTTGTTGTTGTTTTTCTTGGCATAGTGTGGATTTTTTTGTAAATACCCTAATACTGTATGAACCAAGTATAATTGTAAACTAAACTTTTTTGTTATTTGCTAAGAAGTGGCCATGGTTCTTGCAAGAAAAAAACTGTCACAACAGCATTGAACGTGACGCCAGCATATTGTATCAAACATACAAGTTGGACATTGGTGAAAAATGGACTTTTTCTGTAACAGCAAATATATGGGGTTTTGGTAAGTTATCCAACTTTGAAATTATTTATTCTCAAAAACATTTAGTTAATTTTTTCATCGGTCATTTATTGATATTTTATATACATTTTCCATAAATGACTAACATTTTCTTGAATTAAGTATATGCTGTTCTTCATATATATATATGCACATAATTTAAGGGCAACATGGCCACCTAGGCTATTCCATCCACTAAATTAAACTTTTAAATGAAAATAAAACATTCGGGGACAGTTCTTATCATTCATATATTTATCAAGCTTTCCCTTAAACTTCCTTAAATTGACTGCAACTACCACATCTGAGGGTACCCCATTCCAACAGTCAACCACCCTGCTAGAAATATAAAAGCTGTCTAGCTGAAGATTATTCCTAGCCAGTGAATTATGCAATGAGATTATAACCTCTATAGATACAACGTAAAACCTATTTGCCCTACCACTAGCAACAGCACATTGCTTTGATGGCTAAGTGACTAATTAACTAGAACACCAAGATCCTTTTCTTCCGTAACACTGTTAACGTTATTCTCATCAGAGTTATACTCATAATTCAAATTTTGATAACCCGCCTTTTCCAAATTCACCAAATAATCCAAATTTGAACAGGATGATACTTAATATTTTACTTGTAAATCCACTCCTCATCCTCTTTTAGTACTGTATACCTATTAAATAACTTATAATCCTGTATTCAAAAGAAGTTCCTACATTTAACCAAGTTTCAGCTATTCCCATTAAATCAAAATCCTCCATTCTGACTAGTGCTTTAAAGTCATCTATTTTGTTGCTTGTACTTCAAGAATTATGATCATAACAGTTTAGCTTATCACTGTTTTCATTTCTATACATTGTTTCTACACAATAATTCTTCTATATTTTACTTTTTCTTAATTATTTTGGCCTTCACCATTGTTGAGTTGTATATTTTTGTACTTCGGAAATCATTCAATTTACATTATTGTACATTTTACTAGTATTAAAAAGACACATGTTTTCTCACAGATTATCACTAATAATTGGCTACAAAGTGTCAGTTAATGAGAAACTACATGTTTTATTTCCTTAGTGAGCTGCTACAAAGATATACCTTCATTAAAGAACCCTGAAAAGTCTAAACCATAGTATCACATGCACAATAAAACTTCTGTACTAGACTTAACAGCGTGGGTTTTCTCTTACATATTGATTTTGTTTTCAAACTCAAGCTTCTGGTCACAATTTCGGTAGCCATTGTCACAGACTAATATCAACTGATTAGTTATGAACATTCAAACTCAAGCTTCTGGTCACAGTTTCAGTAGCCATTGTCACAGACTAATATCAACTGATTAGTTATGAACATTCAAACTCACAGAACGAGTGAAATATCTCACAAGTCTTGTAACATTTTCCGATGTTTATTATACTTTTTGTAACAACAACCATTTTTGTCGTTGTTTTTAAAAAATTAACGTTGGTAAATATTGCATAATTGATCTGATATTTCATGCGTTATAAGAGTTTGAATGTTCTTAATTAACTGACCAAAATACAAAAGCATCTGAAGATGGTTGCAAAAATTGTGACAAAGAGATTATAAGTTGAATAGCTTATTTGTTTGTTTTGTCAAATTTCACCCAAAGTTACTCAAGAACTATCTGCACTAGCTGTCTCACCGCAAACTCTTGGACTACTATAATCGAATAATGGGATTGACCATAACATTATAACATTCCCATGGCTGAAAGGGTGAACATTTTGTTGATGTAATTTTGAACCCACAGATTACAAGTTGAGCACCCTAACCACAAGGCCGTAACAGGCCTAGCTAAGTTAAATAAATTAATGTACATATGTATCAACTGCATTAGTATCTGAAACCTAACAATTTATTAATAGTGTATCATTTTTATCCACAACTATTTGTCTTTGGGAACACTGTTGTGTTATGTGAATGTTTTATGATATATAGTACTTTTATTGACTATATAGACAATGCTTAAAGTGGAAGTGGGGGGGGGGAGAAAGAGCCTGATTGGTTTGTGTATAACTTTAGATTAGGCTAACATGTATCAGCCTGAAATAGCCACTCTGAATTTTTATAGTTTATTAACTAAATCTGTTTCATTGTCGCATCTCGCCAACTGTACTGATGCAAAAAGGAGAAGAATGAGATATTTGGCATATCCCTAGGCAACTGTAAAAGTACTGGGGTGTTTTCAAATCTACTAAAAGGTAATGAGATGGCATAGCTCCCAACATCAAGCGCTGTGTAGAGGTAAAAATAAATCTAACACTTTTTTTTTATATTATTCATAATTTTTTTTAAATTATTCCAAACTTGTACATTATGATTGCTTTGGTTTATATATATGTCTATTTATTATAGGTATATCTTTGTAATATCTACTTAGTAAATATATATTATTTAATATAGTCCTTTTAAAAAATCTGCATATAAACACATTTTAAAATATTTGATATAAGTAATGAAAACATACAAAATGTTCTATATTCATTGAGTGTTCTTTCTTCTTAGATCCAATTCCTATGCCAATCAATATCCCAATCATTTACACTTCTGTTTTAACCCAAGGCACAGAAATGGTCTCATCTGACCTGCAGAAAACCTTCCGAGCTGAAAACTTAACTGTTAATTTCACACCATTGAAAATTAAAAAGGTTTGGTTAGCATTATATAATATCAGGCTGGGAAGGACTTAAAAAAAGAAAATGTACTTATTTAGTATGGTATTAATAGAGTGTTAACAAAAAGTAGTAAATAAATACACAAACAACTACAAATAGTAAGTTTAATATTTAGGATGTGATTATAAGACAAAACTGAAGTCAAACTATTTAGTGCAAAGTAGAGTTTGGCAATAAGGGTTTGTATGACTTAGTGACTTTGAGCTTTGGATGTATAATCAGATGGTTGTGAATTTGAGTCATTCTCGCATTATGCTATTGTGTTCTTGAACAATACACTTTACCCTAATTATTTCAGTCTACCCAGCAATATGATGGCTAATAGCTGTTAGCTGGGAGGTTAACATGCAATGAAATAGCATCCCATCCAGGGGTAATGTACCACAATTTTCATCTGCTTGAGCCAATAAGACCAGAGTTCAGCATCAGCTCCTAAGTGCTGTCTCGACATAGGAGGATTTGACCTTCAACCTCAACTATTAGTTTTATTTGATAATCAATTAACCTAGGGCCTCATTAATCAGTTACATTTGTTTAATCAATTAGTACAGTGCTCCGCAAACTAAGGTATGTACAAGCAAATAAAAAAAGAGAGAGAGAGATCAATGGTATGTGTTCCCATACAATTACCTTATTTCTAATTAGCAGCTCCAAAAAGAAGAAAAAATTGGCAACAGGTGCTACCAGCCATTTTCCTTCTTTCTAGTCATCAGTCCTTGTTGTAACGCTAATTCATATAACAGCTGCTCATAGGTAATTGATTAAATCACCCAGCTCTAAGTGTGAAGTCAGGCAGAATTTGGCAGAAAACAAGATACAAGTATTAGTTACAGTCTTAAATAAGTTCTAACAAAGAATACTTAAAAAATAAATAAATATTTAAGTTCCATTTTGCACAGAACTGGTTATAAGACAATGTATACATATAAACCAGTGGTACAATAATAAGTTACACACACTCTCAATCTGTTTCATGATTTGTATTTCAATGTCATACATTTCTCTATTGTCCCTTTCAGTGGGAGACAGCACTGAATTTCTATTTGTGGAGTGCATCTTTACTTTGCCCAAAGACTGCTGTTACATTAACCATTCAAGTAACTTGCCCATTTGGGAAAAAAATTAAGTTTTATTATGACTTTGAAGGGAAATTGTCACCACATCAGCTGGAAAAAGCCTACAAGGATTCAGAAAAGTTTTTCACCCTTCCAGTAAGTAAAAAAATTAAATGTTCTAAAGATATTTCAGCTCTTAGTTATATTAATTATCAGTATTGTTTATTTTTTAGCGAGCCAATGGGGGCTTGTAAAAGGAGAATTTTGAACAATATTAATAGTCAAGTCTAAATAAATTGTTGTCCTTACTTTATACGAGAAAGGGTAGAAAAATACTTATCAAAGAACAAAACCAACAAATACAATGTAATTACAATCAATTATTTAGGAGTACATAAGTTCAAGATATTCTAATATCTTATTTATTTCAAAAGCATGATAAATTAACAAAAATATCACTGTAATTTCATAAGAGCAGTTTTTATTATGGCTTCAAAATTGCCATAATTATGATATTTTCTAGTGTTTCTTTTTAACATCTCGTCATAATTAGACAGTGTGTTCAATACCAGTAGCATAATATTTACACTTTCCACTATCTTCGTAAATATTTAAGACTAAATACATTAGAAATACAAATACATCCAAAATTAAATGTGACTTGAAAGTGTTTAATAACAAAAAACACAAATATATATTTCATATATTTGTTAAGTGTGCTTTGAAACTCGTACCATTGTAATAAACTATAAATAAAGTATAAAACTTTCTATTGTTAAAATGTGTTTGTTGGAGTCATTATTCATTCTGAAGAAGGCTTCAACAAGAGTAAAAGGTTCATTCTTGTAAAGGCTTAAACACTTAACTGTATATGTGCACTACAACAAATAGTTATACACTGTTCAGTATATCATTGTTTGTACATACAGTAACATATGGAAATTTCAATGGGATCAGTTGGTGTTCAGGTGAATCAAAATATAAAAGCACACCACAAGTAGGGTAGAAAATATCTAATACTGGTTCTTAGGTACTATTCAACAGTTACATGTATGATTAACATAAACTTACATTAGAGGTACTCCAGTGTTGTAGAAATACACTCTTTGTTATATAATTAGGTTAATTACAGACCACCATCTAAGAAAGGTATTGCAATTCCAACCACAGAAAATATTTACAATGCTGACCCTAGTAAGCCTAAACACAACAACTATTACGAAATATCTAAGGTAAGAAAATTATACGTTTGAATTGATTTAAGTGTAACAGCTCTGAATAGCATTAAATAGTATAAGATTTCTTTACTCATGCAACATTATACTGGTTTTTTTGTGTATGTTTTATGTTTGGAAATGCTCTGTTCTGTGTCATAATATAATGATATTGAAATGTCTTATTTATTTATCACGTGATTGGGAGTATAAGAATGATAATGAAAAATTTAGCAAATATCTAAAACATTTCACATACTTAATACAAATATAGCAAAACTAATTGAGCAAGAAAGAATTGTGTGATTACTCAAAGTTTCCTTTTATTGTTTACTGTTAACTCCTCATTTCTCACTGTTAGCCAGCTTAAATATGTTTAATAAACAAGGTATGTAAAAAAACTGAATACAGTAACTATAAAAACAAAAGATGTAGAAGCTTATAAAAAATGTAAAGGTTCTTGATGACAAAATGGCAAGTTAATATTCTCTTTTTCTATTAAGTATGTCCAATATATGTTTCAAATAATTAGCAGTTTACATCCCATTTTTTAGATATTACCAACTAGCTGGAGTACCCATCCCCCCTGGATGGAAGTCATGTAAATTCATGATTAATGGAAGGTTATCTCAGGACATGAATAGTTGCTTCCCTTATATGTCGTTGTAAAAAACGTCCATAAAAACTGCAAAACACAAAATTTGAAACTGCAACTTTGCGTGTATCTCTGCATGGATCCAACAAACCTTCCTACTAAATTTGGGTGAAAATCCATCAACAGGGGGCGAGTTAGTGGGAAAAAAATGTGAAAATGCAAAAATGCCCACCCATAAAAACTACAAGACGCAAAATGCAAAACTGAAAATTTGTATGTATTTCCCTATGGATCCAATGAACCTCCATACCACATTTAGTGAATATCCATCCACAGGAGGTGAGGTAGTGGTAAGAAATGCCATAAAACTGCAAAACGCAAAAATGAAAATTTGTATGTACTCCTGCATGGGCCTAATGAACCTCCATACCAATTTTGGTAAGTGGGAAACAGTTACATGGGCAGACAACAGACAGTACTATTATATTTATATAGATAGATACACACTATTAAAGGTGACAGGAACCATTTTGGAAAATGTTTCTTATTTTTTAGTAAAACAGTGCTGTGGAGAAAACAAGAGTTTTTTTTCATTTTATCTTATAGTTTTGTACACTTATGGTTGAGACTGTAATTTAGTTTAGTGCAAGTATGCTGGAAACTTTACATACTTCATATGGACAGAAAAAATGGATTTTCCATATTGAGACCATGATGGTATTTTACAGAACTCGGGAACGTATAAGCAGTGTCTTGGTAAGAGTTCACGAGAAAAGTGTGGGTGTACTGATGAGAAGAAAGTCTCAAGATATGCACAAGAAAGTGACTGTATTGAAAAAGTAAGGCATAAGAGTTACTTTTTTTTGTAATTTTATTCCTATCAAAAAATTCTAATTCCACAACCTGTCCCCTCTGCCTTGTTTCTAAGCGTGACGGACTGATTAAGTTTAGTATACCTGATAGATTAGAAACTACCTATAGCCACACATTATTGTTTAAACTTTAATTTTCTCAATTTGTACTTGATTATAAATGAAAACACACTTTCAACTGTGTACACTGAGTGGTCACAAGTAAATAGACACCTAGTTTTTCATCATTTAACTGATTTATGCTAACTAATTTTTGTTCACAGAGCACTATATATATAAATTAAAATGGTCCGCACACTAATTATCTTGTGCTACAACATGCCTAAACTCAAGGTTC